TTTTCGGTGAACCGTTGGGATACCACTGATGAGGTTTTAGTTCCCCGAAACACTGCGTGTTGAACACTAGTGACATCTTTGCAGGTTTGCTGCATGGAAGGTTGGGTAGAATTCATGTGTACCTTGTATGTTGTCTGTCAAGTGAGGATTCAAGTTCGCATGAAAATCGTGATGTCCCAAATCCTGATATAAAACCATGCGGGGCGAATGTGAGCTACGTTCTGGAAATGCCAAACACCTTTTCTGAAAGTTCTATCCTCTGCATGTAGATCTCTGTAGAGTCATTCACATGTAAAATGTACATGTAGTAGTTATCTTGGTGCTTGTTCGGGTGCATAGGCAGTCCAGTGACAGACACGGTGGTTTGTCCAGATACAAACCATAGGTATGATTAACTGAATATGTGAGCCACGGGGAGATCTTCTCCAATTTTATAATGCATTATGCTCACGACGTAACTTTTTCGTACACACAATAATGCAAAGACTGCAATTCGAAAGAAATTATCACTGCAATGACCCCTAGAGACGGCAATCGCTACCATAGAATAGTCCCTAGACAACAACTGGTTTTGTGCACTCGCACATGTTGTCCAGGCGTCAGGGGCCCAGCCTCCCTGCCCATTCGACCCGCCACACACAACAACGAAACTGAACTGAGAGTTCTACATAATTTCTTGACAAGACGGAGACGGACAGACAAGAAGACCGGACACGACGAGGTAAACTGAAAACTGAAGAAAAAGACTAACATTATGGCAGCATATAAGCATGCGCGCAAACAAAACATTACGCACGACAATGACGTAACCGTTACTTGGATCATGTACAAACTATACATGCAACCATAACCAGTCAAATACGAGTCAAAGCAGGATGCAAAACAAACCAAAATAAACGAAAGGACCACAACAAAATGAGCCATGAAAAGTCTTTATACCGATACACAACAACTGGGAACAGTTAGAATTGCTCCCTGGTTATAGAACAACACAATCGTCATTGTAAGTATCGCAACGACGTCATGACATTATTTTAACAAAACAGGATAATCCCACTCCAAACACACAGTACCCTGAAGGGCAGAGCTTTCTTACAAGGAAGATAGAACATGTATTGCAAAAAGAGGTGAGGCCGTCGGTTTGATCATTGTGTCGCTTGCTGATGAATCCCGACAACTTGCAAATTTGGGCATGTTCAATTGAGAACCTTGAGCCACAGGGACAGGATGCTAGCAGGTTTTCTAGAGGCCAACAGTACCGGAGCCGAATGCGATCGTGAAAATCACCCCTCACATCAAAGCTGAAACCGTGCTCAGCCATAGGGATGGTGGTCAGGGTGCTGGACCCGCCCTTCTCGCGTGCCAAGGACATTGCTCGCATTTATGGCTGCTTCAGGCGGTCTTGGATGGCAGTCGCTGTTGCGCCCAGTACTGCGCGGTGGAGAATTCCCACTGCCGACTTCGTTGCCTGGTCCAGCCGAATGCTCTTCAGAAACTGCGATCCGCCGGTAGCGATCTGCGCTGCGAATTGGGTGGTGCACCCTTAGATGCAGCTTGCTTGTATGGAGAGTCATCAACAGGGTTTTCGAAAGACAAGCCTCCATGTCGTGCAGGCAGAGCCACCATTTCCACCTCCAGATCGCTCACTTCATGCTTGGTCAGAGCTCCACACTTGCCCGATCACCAAGCTATACTATACCTATTCTGGTCAGAAACTGGAAATAAAGTCTTATTACAAATGTATAGGCACAGGAAAGTAACTGAAGAACCATTGCGTGAGGAAAACAGTGGGAACCTTGCATATTATGTGCACTCACACCCGCACCCACTCTCACCCACACACATAAACACACGCACACGCGTGCGCGTGCAATAAACAACAATGCACAAATATATGCTAGCACTCTTTCCAACACTCACAATCACGCACAAACGTGCAGAGTCTCACAACCACCCCCTCCCCCCCCCCCCCCTTCACACACACATACATGTACTCACACTATCATCCTCATCCTCCACCCCCTCCGTCCGTCCACCCAACCCCCCCCTCTCCCCCCCCCTCTCCCCCCCCCCCCCCGTCCCCCACACACACGCACACAACCTCGCACCTACACGAGACACCTTCACGCTGCCCAATGGGTGACTCAGACACAACATATTCACAGTGACACTCATCCATACATGTACATGATGCCTGCTAACATTTACGCTGACGGACTAGTCACATAGCAGTGAAACTAAATGCATGCTGGCAGAGCACGTCTCTACCATGTCATATTTGGGATTGTACGTGTGTGTGTGTGTGTGTATGTGTGTGTTTGTGCATGCATATGGATACGTGTGGGTGCATGTGGCAGTGTGCTCGTGTGTAGTTATGCGTGCAGTGGGTATAGTTGAGTGTGTGGTGTGTATGGATGAGTGTCCTGGGTGAAAATGTGAGGAATCCATGTAGGATACATACAGTATGGTATTAGATCATCCTTGTTTTGGTTTAAACATGTCGTTTCACTGTTATTACCTGACGATGGCCAAGTGACGAAACGTTGTACTGAAGTAAACTAACTGAACTGGTTGGGATGTGCAGCGCTATGGGAATGGGAGTGTCCACCCGAATTCCTTTCAGAGATGAAGCTGCACGAAGCCTAAGCCCTTCTTCAGGTCGTACAAGTTGGAAGAGAAAGAGTTAAAAGGGAAGAAAAACAATTCAGAATTAAAATAGCTATTTTTTGTTTATGAGTATCAAGAAAACATCCAGGAGCGATCAAAGAATAAATTACTAACGTTATGCGAAGTCTAAAAACTCTCCTAGAACAGAAAGATTCAGATGGTCGCAACTGATCGGGGCTCTACCAACTGTGGACGGTTGTAGAAAGGTCACTGTTTCTGAACACGATGTTCTCCACCTCATAACATACTGTCAAGCAACAACATGTTAGGGGTACAGTGTGTACATGTGTGCAAGTGTGTGTAATGTGCGAGTGTTCGCCTGTAGATTGCGTCTATGACAGAGCATGAGTTCAAAGTATATGCCGGCGTGAATAGGAGCAGACATCATGTGGATGCATGGATGAGTGTGAATGCATGGTGCTTGAGTCTCCCAGTGGGCAGGGTTAAGGTGTTCAGTGAAGGTGTGAGTTTGTGTACTTGCATATACGTGTGTGTGTTTCTGTGTGCATGAGCGCATGCGCCTGTGTGTGTGGGGGGGGGAGCAGTGGGTTACCAGCCGACCAATCTACCTTCAAGGCAGCTGAATATAAGACTCGTGCCAAGGTGCGCCGAGCTAAGGACCGTTGGCTGGTCACAATTGCAGCACAAGCTGAAGGAGCTCGTACTGCTTGTGAGGGTGCTACCGTTTGGGCATCCATCCGCACCATCCAGTTTAACCACGGAAAGGGGACATGGCTCGGCATAAGTGTCTGGAGGAGCGTGCGCGGCCTGTGTCTGAACAGCGGGGCGCCAGTCAGTGCGGGCGGTGTGGGCGGTGGCTGAGAAGCCGCGGTGGCTTGGTCCGGCATGTGTGTGCCTCGACGGTGGATGCCACGGTGCCACCTGGAGCTACCGGAACGTCGGCACCGGCGGAGGGATGTTGTGCCGCGCATTGTGACAGGTTTGGTCGCTGCTTTCGCGGTGTCCGGGGACGGGGCAGGCATCGCTGTTCAAGGGTGGCGCATAGACCAACAGCAGAGGAGCGCTCAGCCTTCCAGCACGTGTGCATATGCGGCAAGCGGATGCGAGTACCCGTGCACATGGAGCGTCATCGAGCGTCGTGTCCTCTCTCTCTCTCTCTTCTCAATTTTCCCAGTGGTGGGATCACGTGACCCTTTTGCGGCAGTGACTCTACAGGACAGGATAGGTGTGTGTGTGTGTCAGGCACTGGTTGTCTCTTCTCCAGGAGTGGTTTGCCTCGTCCTAAATGCCTCGATGAGCGCCGCAAACCTGTATCGGAACAGAGAGGTAGCCGACAATGTTCTTCATGCGAGCGCCGGTTCCCCATTGCTGGAGTTTTGGCGGTCCACAAGTGCCCTAACTCCCGGACTCTCCCGGGGACATCGTCTCAGGCTCCGTACCGGGCGGCGGTGTCTACCATTGCTGCTCAGGCGACTCCTCCGCCGCCGCATGTGCGGCTCGTCCTCTCATGCTGCAAGGCCCACTGTGGGGCCTGTGGTCGGCGCTGCCGCTCTACTCATGGATTCCAAATTCATAGCGGCCAAAGATGGCTCTTTCGTCGTGCCGATTGAATATGGTCCATAACCTCTCGGCAGACTGCCGACTTTCTGCCGTCGCTCGTCGTTTCCATTGTTTACGGCCCCGCAAAGGGACACATGACCGTAATGGCAGTGTTCATCGGGACCAGGACCAGGTGCGTGTGTGTGTGTGTGTGTGTGTGCGTGTGTGAGAGAGAGAGAGAGAGGATGAGTGTGAGCGTATGTGTGGAAGTGTGTGAGAGTGTAGACTTGGGTGCGTGTCTGGGTGATTGAGGACGTGTCTTGTCGTGTGTTGGAGTGAGTGTATAGGTTTGTGTGGTATTGTTTATTGTACGCCTGCACGGGTCCGTGTGTGTGTTTGTGTGTATGTGCGGATACGAGAGCATGTCTATGCGTGGTTCCACTGTATTCCTTCACCGTATTCCCCGTTTCATACCAGAAACGTGTTTTCCGATGACAGGGCAAGCGTGAAACTCTGAGTTGCAATGAAAATTCTGTTCCAACTTACTTGTAATAATATCTTCGACAAATTATTGATCGAGGTTTCTGCCCTCCAAAGTCTTTGTCTCAGAGAGTCTTTTTTCAGGCGTTAGGGCTTGCAAGCTCACTCCATCTGTATACGCCACTGGCTGAGGCTACTTCTGCAAACATTCCTTTATCGTACAGGAAGCGGCTTTTCCCGTCACTCCACGACCAGTTGTATATTTTGTCTTCTTAGGTGCATTATAATCTGTACTGACCTAGACAGTCTTTTCATACATTTCAATACTATTTCCATGTGTCCATCTTGTACAGCTCGACAGGTTCAGTCGGGACCATCCCCTACACCACTGACATTGACCTACACTGGTGATACTCACACCATACCATGCATGTCAAGTGGAAACTTCCCTCTCAACGCATCTTGGAGCTCAACATTATCTCCGGACTCACAGATGATACAGACAACTATGCCTGCCACTATGGTGAACTCAACGTTCAGCTTCCAACAGAACGATTCCCAGATTGTGTTTACGGAAAGTGATACATCAGGTGTTACCTTCAATGTAACCTGTACGACATCATATACTACAAACTTTGATTGTATTGGAGTGGATTCAAGTCCTGCACGTCCACAAAGTGTGATTGACAGATGTATGAATGCCGCACAGCCAGTATCTACCACTGTCTCTGTCACAATCCAAGGTTGGTATTTGTTCAGAATTACTAGGTTTGAGTGAATAACAAGTGTGTTGTGTACACTGACAACTTCAGATGTATAACCTGTAACTGCTACTATGGACAGCAGTGTTGCCAGCCCAGTCGTACACTGTACGACACGTTGTCCTCATTAGGGGTGTGCGGATAATGCTTGAAAAGGTTGCAGGTTCTGCTGGAAAATCAGTGAAGTTGGCAGAACCATACAAACCTTATGGCGGGAAATTCCTCGAATTCTGCTCCATTTCTTTATTCACATACCAAACATGCATGGAACTTACCAGAAAAGTACCGAATTCTGACAATTTTTCTGTCTGCTGGCATTACCCGCATATGCCTAGTAATCATGACGGTTGGGGTACATACAACGGAGAGGTTAAGATGCTCGGTTTTTCTGACTTTATGTGAAAGTTTAGCTCGCGTTATTTGGCTCGTGTGTCGAAAAACAACGTGAGTGACCTGAAGCTCACGTCGACGTTTTACGCCAAATTTGACGTGAAATTGCGCGTCACGTCGGAAATAACGTGCATTTTAACCCCTCTAATGTAGGTAACAAATTTTCTAGTGCTGGGAGAATACCAGTAACGCGGGCAGTATGCTTAGCACCAAATTATCTATCTAAGGGTTTTGGTAAATTCCACATATAAACAGCACAGTGGCTGCTACAAGTAGAGAATCATTCCACAAACCATCCACCTGGACACTGGACTTTAACATCTTTTTACAATTTCGGTTTCGACCGCTCGAAACCAATACTTTCAACATCATCCAGGTTTTGTTTAACAGGTATGCTGCACCATTGCAGCAAGATGTAAGCCTCAGCCAGGCCAAGCCAGCAGCTGTCCTGCTGATCATCAGCTTTAGAAGGACAACCTGTTTCAAGTCATATACAGCGTGTGCAGCACTTCTGGGCAATTGGCGTCGCATGTTACATGTAATTCATTTGTACGATTTGCCCAATCAACAGACAGTTCAGGAGAGATATCCAAGATGCAGCGGGCACCCTTGAACTGTGTGCCAGGTCAGGAGTGCGGCATTGAAGCTGCCATCCATGCGATGCAAGATGTCTACCGTGAGGAAAATGCGGATGCCATATATCTCGCCGACGCTTCGAACGCTTTCAACCGTCTTAACCGTGAAGCCTGCCTACGGAACATCCGTCACCTCTGTCCCTCTCTAGCGCCAGCTGTAATCAATACCTACCGCCAATCATATACGCGCTTGGAGACCTCCCACTCATCAAGAAAGTTGCAGTGCTTGATGCGAAACAGGGCTGGTATGCGGACGATGCTGCAGCCGGTGGGAAGCTAACGCCTGTTCGCCAATGGTGGGACAATCTTGTCAGCCACGGTCCCGGGTATGGCTACCACTGCAACGCCCAGACGTTGCTCCTCCTGGTCAAGACCTTCAGGTACGCAGCTGCTCTAGAGACGTTCGAGGGGATCTATGTGCAGGTCACGTGTGATGGATGCCGCCACCTTGGTGCACCTTTGGGTACGGATGAGTTTGTAGAAGATTTTGTCCAGTCCAAGTTCGCCACTTTGTGTGAGGAAGTTGCGCAGCTCACGGCCATCGCTGCATCGCAGCCACAGACCGCCTACTCCGCCTTCGCGCAGGGCCTGCAAAAGAAGTGGTCCTTCCTCTGCCAGACCTCCTCCATCCCGCCGTCCCTGCTTAACCGCTGGGACACGCAATCAGCGGTCGGCTCATCCCAGCCATCACGGGTCAGGCTCCACCTGGGACAACTGTTCGCTCCCTACTCTCTTTGCCCTGCCGGCTTGGGGACTTGGTATGGCAGACGCTTGTACAGTGGCTGAACAAAACATCCCATCCAGAAGGATCACGGCTAGCCTCGTGTCTGGCCTGCTGGAGCAGGAGTCGTCTCTGACTCAGCTCCGGACGGTCAAGGCGACGATTCGTGCCTAGAAGCGGAGCGCGTCCAAGTCTATGGCTGACGCCCTTTGCTCGGATCATCGGGAGCTTGCCCCTGTTCTCGACCTGGCCTCAGAAAGTGGGCCATCCAGTTGGCTGACCGGCCGCCCCCTCAGCCGCCATGGTTTCACTCTCACCAAGGGAGATTTCCGGGATGGCCTGTGCCTCCGGTACGGCTGGACACCTCCTTGGCCCCCAAATCTCGGCATGTGTTGTAAGCCGCTGAATGTGAGTCACGCCCTGTCGTACCCGTTTGATGGCTTGCCGACGCTGCGACATACCGCGGTGAGGGACATCACAGCCAGAGCTCTAAGGCAGGTCGCTCATAACATGACGGTGGAACCCCAACTCCAGCCCATCACCAGAGAGGCCTTCCGCCATCGCGCAGCTGGTCCGGAGGAGCAAGCTCGGCTGGACGTTGCGACTAGTGGTGTGTGGGAGGGCCGATTAGAGCGCATCTTTATGGATGCACGGGTGTTCAACCCTTTTGCGTCTTCGACTCGTGCCACCTCCCTCGCTGCTAGCTACAGACGCCATGAACAGGAAAAGCGCCTGAAGTACGAAGAGCGAGTACGCGAAGTTGAGCGTGCCTCCTTCGTGCCCGTTGTGCTTTCTGCCTCTGGTGGCTATGGCAAGCATGCCAAAGCTCTTTTCACGCGGATCGCCTCTCTCCTGGCTGAGAAGAGCAAGGAGCCATACGCGCAGATTATCTCCTTGTTGCGCTGCCGCATTGGGTTTGCCCTGGTGCGTTGTGGTGCTATGTGCCTGCGTGGATCAAGGAGCATTTTTGCTCCTGCCGTGCCCAAGTCCCCTGCTGTGCTAGTGGTGGCGGAGACATGCATCCAGTGAACCTACAGTGATCCTACTGAGTGACAGACTCTGTATAATCATTACTGTATCTGATGATTCGTTTTATGTAATTGTGTTGATTCTTCACAAAAAAAATAATGTGTTAACTGCCCATGATACATGTATGTGGAGGACAATGTACTCCATACATGATACATACGGCATTGCGTAGCTGCACTGCGTTAGCGCGCTGAAATTTTGCAATTCTCAGAGTGTCATTTCTGTGCAGATTCTCAGGTGCACATTGAACGTAGTATGGGCCCGAAATCTGTTCTTGACAATGGCTTTCTCCTCTTTCCAGATAAAGCGATCAGAGGTTTATCTGATGTCGTGTCAACTCCATGTACAGGTACAATGTACATGCACTCCATACATTTGGTATCCTGGAGCAAATCGATCGCTCATAGAACAAGAAGACACCATCGTACAGCCTCCAATTTCACACACTGCGTAGTTATTCGACGCTGAAGACGATGGAATGGTCCCCGGCGTTACGAACGGCCCAGAACAAGCCGAAATCGCTACAGATTAATTGCGCAGGGCGGAATATAGCTAAAATTCGTCTTGTGAAAACAGGACCTATGGTATCTACAGCAGAGACATCTCCTCTTTCCAACAAAGAAACCAACTCGTCCTGAGCTGCTAAAATTTTACCTGGCCAAGGCAGAAAACACAGTGAAGTACGATTGTGCCACGGGCCCCGTACAAACCTGTTTCCACTCCAAATGGATCTGGGTTCGAGGCAGCGAACACCCTGCTCATAGTCATTAATCCTCTTCACGGCGTATCCAAGGAGCCGAAAAATGCCAAAACGTCAAAATTATCAGAAATGGTCAAATAGAATCAATGTTGTGATTTGAAATAGAATGATGCACCTCGAAATTCAGGAATGTGCTTCTTGTGGTCACTCCAGGGTAGGCCCATACCGTTGAGGTTAAAACCGTTTGCCACTGAGGAAATCATTACATGTATAAGGCATATGTCATGTCCTGCGCATCCGACCCACTGACGCCTTGGTACGTTAAGTTTGTGGACTTGGGCATGGTGGTGAAATGAGCAGGATACACATACCATGAGCTACACCTTGCTTGCTGAAGTTCCTTAAATAGAAAGTTACTAGTATCAAAGTTCAAGGGTAAAATTTTGAAAGTATTTTGATTATGAAGTCAAATGTACTCGTCAGGTATGCATGCCGATCACAGTTCACAGTACTCTTGCTCACAAGTATTTTGTGTTGAGTACAGATCTTGTAATTTGCATGATGGAAAGCGCTATCGACTGTGGAACACAGAAAAGTCAACACTTTGTGGATTCGCTGCCGTACTGAGACATTTGACATCACCTGTCGCGCATTTCCGCAAGACCAAGGATGAATTCCCGATGGATGAACTGAACACTGCTGTTTAGATCGTGTTGTTTCTGCTGAGGCTACTCAGCATTCTAATCTTTTCTTTCTTTTTACTGGCAAACACAGCCCTACTAATAATCAGGAGAAGAGGACAACTGAAATACCAATGAACAACAAGACACAGGTGATTAGGAGCGATGTGCGGACGTCGTCGGGAAGACTCATCCGACCGTTGGTCTAGGAATCATAGCCATGTCCAGGCATCCACAGGACTGCAGCTAGGGAGGAAGGGAGGGAGATCGAGTGGGAAAGGAGAGATAGAGCCACAAGAAAGAGAAAGATAAACAAAAGAAAAAACAAGAAAGGGATGATGGACGAGGGTAGTTGCTCATTGACGGGTGACAAAGCATCACAGGGAGTCCGTAGCCCAGAGCCAATTAATTTGACGCAAGTGGCGGTAGTTTTTCGTCTGGAAGGATTAGAGAAACTTCAGCCAGGGCGTACATGTAGGTTCAGGGCACATGTCTTGCGGCAGCCTGATCCATTCATTAGCCATACAATATGGGATCGAACGCTGAGGAAAGTTGGGGGCCCTATGGGAGGGAGGGGGGGGGGCACTGTTGGTAGCTGATGCATACGGAGCTGCGTGAGATGAGGCTAGCTTCCTGGTGAGGCAGCACGAGCGCAAAGAGGTCTGGATGGTCTTGCAGGCACATCAGTTCCCCTTCCATCACATCGATGACCCTTGGGATACCCTGCGGGGATAACTTAACACACCATGATGTCCTCCCAGCCATGCACTTACCTATCACTATAGTGATGGTCATCTCTATATGGCTTGTACCCAAGTACCCATGACATGCTTCTTTTCAAACGTGCATAATAATAATATGAACAGGCCGCACATTGCCCGCATGAATAATCATACGGGGGTCACGCATCTGTCAATGATCGTTAACCAGAGTTGCTTGTTGGTGGCGAGGTTGAGGCATTCCTGAATCGGCACATTCAGAGGTTCGAGGTCTTCTCTGATGTTGTCGACTCATTTTTTGTGGGGAACGTGTCCTGTATACAATAGCATGCTCTTCCTGTCTAAACGTTGTTATTTTTCTGTCCGGTCAACAATGGTTACTGTTCTTTTTCAAGCTTCCATCAAATTTCATTCATTTTTGTCCAATTTCAATATGTGAAAAATTGATTTTCAACATAACACGGACAAGTGCTACCGGTCTGGATGTACATGTACACTTGTTGTAATTGGACCACTAAAACATTGTCTGCTTCTATCTTTATGGACCATCGTAGCACTTTTTTTGGGTGAGGTTTTCACTTACTGTGAGTAATGACCTTGCATTTTACCTCTTCGTTCCCAGCACTATGTCCAGATCTCAATGACAGCGGTTTCAATTACAAACCTATTCCCAGTTTCAGCAGACGACCGGGTACCCCAGTACCCATCGCGTGCAGAACAGGTTTTTTGTCTAACAATAGTATGGAAATAACCCAGTCTATATGCCAGGGCAACGGAAGGTGGCAACCAAGTCCACCATTGTGTGAAAGTAAGTCTGTATCCAAGTGGTCCAAGGAATTCCTATGCTGAAGCATATTCCGTCCAGTTTCTGTTCACAGCTTACTGATATTTTCATTTTAATTTCCCTCTTTAGTCAGATTGAACAATATGGTGGTAGAGTATTATAAAAGACATCGCAGTGTTTATCTCATAAAGTATTAACACAATGAGCCCTTATAGGCTTCTGTGGAATTTGATATGAGGTTGACCAGCTTTTTCTTTCATGAAGTTGTAGCTACTACCAAGTGCACAATGGTGTTTCATCTTGCAAGTGTGTGGTTTATTTGTGCTATTTTATATAATGTTCATGAGAGGGGAGGGTCAGAGAGTAAGGCCAAGTACAAGGAAATTAGGAAATCAAATGGGTTTGTAAGTATAGCTGTCATCACGAGATGAATCAGTTTCATTGGAATACTTTTTGTGTTCTATATGCTGCATTCTAGGCTGCTCCATGGTTTGCAATGATGCCAGTGTTACCAGCTGTGCCAGGATCATTGTGTCTAACATACAAGGCATAAATTGCCCATGTAGCAGTACTGATGAAATCTGGACAAGGTCTGCTCAGGGCTGTTTGTGTAAGTAAAAATGTACCACTGTTTGGTGCTGTAAAGTCCATTCCTTTCTCCACATTGATGTATGCGTCCGTTTTGGTCAGCTTCTCATATGTCCATGGTGTATTGGTCAAATAATTACTCTATAAGCTATCGAACGAATATTGCCACTATCGAGTCAAGTATGGAGTACTCTATAAGTGAACCCAGTCGCTCATATATGGACATTGCCACCACGCCAACATGATGTAACATGACATACATGTTTACTGTACAGGGTAGGCAAATTTCCTAGTTTCGCCCGAAGTCAGTGACGTCTCTCGGACTCTTCTTCTCTCTCTCTCTCTCTCACTTGCATATACATAACTATTAACTTCCAGTAGCAGAAGCACAGCTCTGACTTCGTCGAAAGGAACTATCTTAGTGGACCTTTTCAATTTGTGCTACACAGAAAAGTCAGGACAGCTTACATTCTTGTCATATACGTGTATTTAATCGAGTATGGAGTCGCCATTTGAATTCGAGTACTCAGCGAGTGGGTACTCGAGTCCTCGGTGTACTCCTGTTAACACTGATTATGTGTGTGTACTTCCTTAGTTAGCCCTGTTGACAGGGTGTGCTTCTACTTTTATTGCTCTCTGTCCATTCCCTACTTCAGCCACCCATTGCGCCGCTCAAAACTTAAACTTCACTCTCAGCAATATTCCGAGATTGGAAGTGAATACGTCTGTGATTATAGCTTGCGCTGTTAACTACACTTCAACGGGAAATGGGAGTATCGTCACATGTCTGCAAAACGGGACGCTGTCTAACCTACCAGTTTGCACAGGTATGAAGTCTGTAGCACAGGTTTACGTTTTAGAATTTCTCCACTGGAGGGTCGATGTAGCCAGAGAATGGGTGAAGAATCATCGCTAGGAGAACCTACTGAATACCTGGTGGCAATGCACGGTATTACTGCCACCTATAATTTATGGGTCTACGCAGACTACACATCATGTTTAACTTAATGTCTAGAAGAGATAGCGAGAGTATCACGTGTTTGTCTCTTTGTCATCATTAGGCTCATGAAAGGGAATAGAGCAAAATATCTAAACCAGCAATTATTGTGTGGCTGCACCAAAGGTAGCAACCTGCGCTTCCTGCTGACTGGCTTGACACTTGAATGACTTACGACATCTATCCAGAGCTCATGAGGAGCCTGTCGTACCTTGCACTGGGCAAACTTGCAAGAACGCACTACTCCCTTCTCAATACAGATGGAATTCATCCCTCACCAGTTCGGCTTGTGTATGCGTTTGAACGTTCTGCTCCGAAAAGACTGGAGTGTTTTCAAAGCCAAACCATCGCTAGGGATGCCTTGAACATTTGCAAAAAAAGCCACGGTTGGAGATTTGTACGCAAATGTGCAGCATCGATGCTAGGCATATGCGGATTATGCCGGCAGAAAAAATTGGCAGAATTCGGTACTTTTCCTGGTAAATGTCATGCATGTTTGGTATGTGGATAAAGAAATGGAGCAGAATTCGAGGAATGCCCGCCATAAGGTTCGTATGGCTTGGCCAATTTCACTGCTTTTCGAGCAGAATCTGCCACCCTTTCGAGCGTTATCGGCACACCCCTAATCGATGCACAAAAGGGTGCTGACGTCAGCTGACGCTCTTGCTTCTTTTTAATCAATTTTTTTAACAGAAGTCTCAGTAAGAGTGCAAACATTATTAAACAATAACGTTTTTTTGAAGGGGCATTTGATCTCAGATTGATAATTGATATCTGGTTTCTTAAGTCATTATTTGCTTTCTATGGTCGAAGTATAGTTGTCTACTAGATTTAGAGTGGCGTGTTTGTATCTTCGTCTTTATGCCTATAACGCGTGTGGGTGGTGGCGCTGGTGTCTATGTGCGCATTCTGTTGGGTTCTATTTAGAAGTCATTCATACGAATCCAACGATTGTCACGGGCAAGTTCTATTTCGTTAACTACTTCACTCTGCACTTGAACTGAATGCGCCAAGCATTGCATTTAGTTTTTAAATCTCGGCATAATCACGTTTATGGCTGCAACGGTTCCCACTGTATTGGATTTTTATCATCAGAGCTTGTATGTCTCTTTATTAAAGCACAAAATATCGGGCACAAAACTGAAACTGCATAGATCCGCCTTTGACACGCCAATGCACCAGTCGACCTTAGCTAATTGTATAGCACTGAAAGGAACATGGGAGACTGCAAGCAGCAGTTGCCTAAGCAACTAATGGTATAGACATGACCATGACATCCATGACAACACTGTTCTGCAGGATGTGCTCGAGTGCAAATGTGCACGTGGCTTTTGGTTCCGAGTAGTTCGGAAACCATAGTATGCTTTTCTTGTCCAGATTCAATAGCGACATATCTAGGCGAAAGGGTGTCGGGAAACAAATTCCGGATTAAATACATTAATTTTGGGGAAAGATATAGAAAGTGCCAAACCCCTTGCAGTCTCAGTAGCTAACTGGATAGTTTCTCGTTACTTTGGTGCACTCTTAGTCATAACTGCTAACTTAGTGGTCCTTTCTTCTTTGTTAATTAATACTATTGCCTCAACCACATCCTAGTGTAGTGCCAAAACAACAAGAATTATTAGATAGGACGATTGCGCTAGCGCTCTCTATGTTGGTGTTGCAATCAACTTAAAACCGTTTCGTCCTTGACGACGTATTGCCCGATACTGCTGTCTGAGGCGGTCATCCAAGGGGTGCTATATAGAGGCGCGACGGGCTGAACTTCGTCGATGCAATATTTGTTTCAGCTGAGGGTCGACCTGGGGCTGGGGGCGGGGTTTGGAGTGAGCTCCGTTCTTCTGGTGACGAACGGTGCAAGATCATGTAGTACTGTCGTGACACATTGTTGCCAGTGGCTTGTGGCTACATTTAGAGTATAACCGCCGAATTCATCTGGGCGGTCAAGGATGTGTGTGAGAGCTGCAGATGTTCGACTTTGGTTCAGGTTAGCTAGGCTAGGTTGACGTCTTCGAGAGAATTGTTCGTGTGGCTGTTCACAGTTTGCTCAACTAACAGAGGCCAACAAAATGATGTTCGCACAGGCAATCGACGCTGTGAACAAATGTACTTTGAAGAGATATGGGAGAGGGAGACGAAGGATTCGTTGTCATTGCTGTGGGTGGTGGTAGGAGGGGGGGGGGAGGAGGAGGGTGGAAGGTATGATGTACATGTAGGGAAGTACAACTGAAAAATAGTTTTTACACACATGTAAAAGATTAAATTGGGTGGGGTTTGTGACTTATGAAGTGGCTGTATGCATGAATTTCCTCTGCTTGGTTCAATGGCGTGCGCATGTGGGCATGTATACGTTGTGTGCCATATATGGTCCTGCTCGTGTTTGTTTAGATCTCGCAACCAAGACGACGAATGTGACCAGGGGTAGGTGTAATTTGATTTCCCTGAAATATAATGCTTATTTTTTTATACGGGAATTGCAAGCTCTTATTAATTCGATATGGAGCATGTTTAACACTTCATGGCCAGTGGCCAGGCACAAGGGGTACATGGATGCAGCTAATGGGGCCGTTCTCGGCACTTGTGCCAGTGGTTGTGAGACTTATCCACTCACCCCCACCGTTAGGCGCTGCATCTGCCGCTAGGATTTACCGGGTGTTAGCGGCCGTCGTGAGTTCCCTTCGGGAACGGACACGATAATTTACTTTTTTTTTTAAACACTTCATGGGGCGATTGCTCCATTGCAAGACGAAGTGGTTTGGTGATATCGAGGTGTTACACGAAGTGGAACCTTTACGGTAGAAATGGCAAGTTGAAAATAACCTGACCGCGTTCTACTGAGTCAGCTAAAGTGTCGTTGTTCCATAGCAGATCCACACAGTCAATGGCTGTACACATGCCACCTCTAAGCTCCACCGTGTGTTTCTCCATGGAAACAGGGCAAAATCAAACTCCTTGACCCATCCAAACCGAAAGCACTCTTGCATTGAGACTTTCCTCCAAACAATGACGTACATATATGAAACTCGCAAGGACCATGTCTGGAAATGATCAAGTATGTATGCAAGTCTATTTCTTCACGGTTACAGAATCATCTCTTCAGGAATTGCCTTTGTACATTCAACTTACAATCCTTTTTATAGTAATCCCAATTCCTACGGTTTTGCAGCTCAATGTTATGAGCTTGGGTCCTCGATGTCTTCGAAAATCACACTACCACGGCAATGTTCGAAGGAACGTCTGAATATAAGTAGGTCTGGCTCGGAATCATGAAGATATCTGATAACTATGTCATTTGTGTCCGTTTTTTGAAAATATTTGTAGTCATCCCAACATTGTCAACTACTTCAACTATATCCTACACCACTACTGGCGGTACGTACAATATGAAATGCGTTCGAATGTTTCATATTATATGCTAGCTACATTCATAGAAAAGTGTTTCATATTTTGCCGCCAGCCTACTAATTAAAATTACCTTCGTCGAGCCAGAACAGGCAAAACAAGACAAAACTAACAAAAAGGTCTGAACAAGAAGATCTTCCCCTCAAACCAATGAAAACAAGAAAGCTTAACCCAATTTTCAGCATCTGCTGTAATTGCAGATTCAGCATACGGATAATGGGATTTGTTAAGTTTAAGGTTTAACTTAATAATGGGGAAACTATGGCAAGGTACTTCTGGCGATATGGCGATAAATAAATTGCAACGGAGAAAACAGGGTCCCTTCCCAACCGAGTCAATCAAAGTTGAAGACAAATATTTAGGAAGGCCAATAGCTTACGAATTCAAGAAAAAGGTACTTTCAAAGTGATATGGCCAGACGTGTGTTTGCTTTGATCGCAGAGACCACAACCCGACATCGCAACGGCTTTTCACAAATACATTAAACAATATGGAAAACTGGCCGGGACCGCGTTCTTGCTGCCGATGCCCCATTATACTCGCCTTCCATTTTTATCCATGCTTGCATTGGCTCACCATCGGAGTTCAAATATGTAGATCATAAGTTCTTACTTGAACTCGGAAGGTGCGCCAATTACATACCTCGTAAAATGTTGTCTATATCCGTTTTGAAACTCGGGTATTGAGCCAATAATAAAAGTAGAAAGGAAAAGGACATATGAATGTCGAATGTCTCAGTACTCTGTCAGTTTTGTGCCTAGTTGTTGCACTTTCTGACTGTATATAGTATCTAGTTAAAGTGGTGGAGAGTTACTCTTAACTCGTTCCCATATGTCCTTTTCCTTTCTATCTCCGTTTTACCATACTATTTCTTATGTGTGCACAAACTATTACACCAAGAATATAGTGACATTACGGGCACCATCACAGCACCACACGTACTTCACACCGTGTCCTGTAGTCTCTAGCCACGGTCCCTTCTCGCATATTCCCTTTGTTTGCGAGTATTTGGAAAAAGGAAGACTTTGCTCGCGAAAAAAGTACGAGTTGATCATAAAGCTGTTAATTGAGCATGGCTGAGAAAACCAGAAAATATGTGCAAGTCGATATCTCTGATTTCGCCCAAATTTTGCACCTAAGTTTTTGAGGGGTATACCAATTTCAAAGTTCCCTTCATACTGTTTTCCGCGGGCTTTGCACAGTCGACGTACACCCCTACTTGCAAAATTTGGGCGAAATTGCAGATATCGACTTGCACAATAGTTTTGGTCTTCCCGGACATGCTCTCTTTTACAGGCCCCCAAATCGTTAGTTGAAAGCGCATGTATCTGTAGATTTTATAATAGCAAAAAAGAGAACAAATTCTGCAGTCATCGCCACACTACAACGAAGTCATGAAAGTTTACCAGAATTAATTTTCTTGTCATATTCATCAGTGGAAAGTCGTGACTGAAGAGTAACCATGCTGAACAATGATTAAATATACCTTTAATGATGTGTTACGAGAACAAAATACAGTGCCAAAATAGAATGAGGGAAGGTGAGACAATAGAAGTGAAGTGAGAGCTAAGTGCAACGGCGGGTGAGAAACTAATAATAATAACGCTAAAACTGTGTAGTGAGACAAGCAATCATGCTGTGTACCTACGAAAACAATTTTAACGCAACTACATGTTTCTTCTGCTTACAAAGATCAGGCTTATGCAAACGAATACAAACAGCCTCAAGTACTTTCAACTGACCAGCATACCGTGCACGACAAAGAACAGAAAAACTAAAATCATCTCACACCTGCAGACACTTAGGGTGAGACAACAAGTGAAGAAAAACGGCACACCTCTTACGATCGCAATCACCATCTGATTCCTCGTCTCCAACAACCGCAACCTCGTCCTCCGTCTCATCTTCCAACTCGTCCTCAGTGTCGTCCTCCGTGTCATTCTCCTCATCAACACCGATCGGTCCCACGCTCGCTTCATGTTGTTTAACCTCTGTTCGTTGACTTCCCCTTTGATCTTGATGGTAAATTGTTACCATTGTTGTTGCTGTTGTTATGGTTGTTGTTATATCTTGTGTTCCCAGTGTCCTCGCCGGTGCTTGACCTCTAGTACTGTAATAATTCATTGAATAATTAGCCGTTGATCGTCTAGGTCTTTGAATGTTGATTGTGTTACTTTCTTTGTTGAATTCCGTTCCCTTTAGCCTTCTTTCTCGTTGTTCACATTCATTGCTTGCCTCATCCATATATGCACGTGCCACCGACACCACAGACTCAGCCCCAGCACTGCCGATGATAGATGTAGGTGGCGGTTCTGGGGGAGGCAACGGCAAAGACGGCGATGAGGGCATTACCTCATCACAGCGTCCACTTTGGTCTTGAGCTGAATGTTGCTGTGGTGTGTTATCTTGTGTTTTTATGGTGCATTCTGTTGTGGTGACAATATGCCCATTACCCGAATCCAAGGCTCTCGATACCCCGACGATCTATTGAAGGTACTCATGAGCGAAAGGCTGCATAAAAAGGAAAAACGTTTTGGCCCGGACAAATGTCCCACGTATCTTTCTCTCCCCTTGAAAGGCAACCTCTCATTATCCATGAGTCACGTGGTACGGAAAATTGTACAGCAAACTTACTACGCGGTACATTTTGTACCCGTTTTCACAACTGTACGTGCGCTCACGGTGAGGAAGGATGTCCTACCAACCCAACTTGCATCTAAATTGGTATACCAATTTGAGTGCCGACAATGCGGTAGTCGGTACGTTCGTAGGACTCTTCAACATCTGAACGCACGTATCAAGCAGCACGTAACACTGCATATGGTGACTGGCTCGGCACGGGCACTGCGACCGAAACGCGGCAGGCCACTGAAGAACCCTCCGCCACAGCCATCGTTAGCACAATTTCCGTCATCGACAATAGTGCCTCCATTACCCGTATCGAGAGCCTTGGAGTCGGGTAATGGGCATATTGTCACCACAACAGAATGTACCATAACAACACAAGATAACATACAACAACAACATTCAGCTCAAGACCAAAGTGGACGCTGTGATGAGGTAATGCCCTCATCGCCGTCTTTGCCGTTGCCTCCCCCAGAACCGCCACCTACATCTATCATCGGCAGAGCTGGGGCTGAGTCTGTGGTGTCGGTGGCACGTGGATATATGGATGAGGCAAGCACTGAACGTGAACAACGAGAAAGAAGGCTGAAGGGAACGGAATTCAACAAAGAAAGTAACACAATCAACATTCAAAGACCTAGACGATCAACGGCTAATTATTCAATGAATTATTACAGTACTAGAGGTCAAGCACCGGCGAGGACACTGGGAACACAAGATATAACAACAACCACAACAACAGCAACGACAATGGTAACAATTTACCATCAAGATCAAAGGGGAAGTCAACGAACAGAGGTTAAACAACATTAAGCGAGCGTGGGACCTATCGGTGTTGATGAGGAGAATGACACGGAGGACGACACTGAGGACGAGTTGGGAGATGAGAAAGAGGACGAGGTTGCGGTTGTTGGAGACGAGGAATCAGATGGTGATTGCGATCGTAAGAGGTGTGCCATTTTTCTTCACTTGTTGTCTCACCCTAAGTGTCTGCAGGTGTATGATGATTTTAGTTTTTCTGTTCTTTGTCGTGCACGGTATGCTGGTCAGTTGAAAGTACTTGAGGCTGTTTGTATTCGTTTGCATAAGCCTGATCTTTGTAAGCAGAAGAAACATGTAGTTGCGTTAAAATTGTTTTCGTAGGTGCACAGCATGATTGTTTGTCTAACTACACAGTTTTAGCGTTATAATTATTAGTTTCTCACCCGCCGTTGCACTTAGCTCTCACTTCACTTCTATTGTCTCACCTTCCCTCTTTCTATTTTGGCACTGTATTTTGATCTCGTAACACATCATTAAAGGTATATTTAATCATTGTTCAGCATGGTTACTCTTCAGTCACGACTTTCCACTGATGAATATGACAAGAAAATTAATTCTGGTAAACTTTCATGACTTCGTTGTAGTGTGGTGATGACTGCAGAATTTGTTCTCTTTATTGCTATTATATAATTGTTATCTCCACGTCGATTATTTGCATATCTGTAGATTATGAAGCATTCAATGAACTTTGTTTTCTCGCCTGCAGCAGACAGTCTATGCACACCTGGCACGGTGATCGGCGCTGGTATTGGCGGGATGGTGTTTGGGATATTAGCAACAACGTTGGTAGCCATGATAATCCATCGGAAGATGCAAAGCAAACCAGTGAAGACTGAAGTGCTGAGTCGGACACAAAATGCAGCATACGAAGACGCTGATATTGCTGAGAGTTCCCTCACTAAAAGTGATGCTTACGGTGTTGTAGAATCAGCCCCACAACCACAGTATGAACTCGTCTGCCCGCAGTAAAAATTCATGATAAAGCACATTTTATTCAACTCTGTAGTTTGCGCTGCTTTACCTCAATTCACTGCTTTTAAAAAGTGAAAGCTCTCTCGGAAAACATTCTTCCATTTCTAACCTGGTGCATTTTATTCGGACAGGAAATTTCAAAATTAGGCCTTTTGCATTTCCTCACACTGGCGCATTCTGTACCATTAAATATCATCTATCATATCCCCAGACGGATTGTGTTTCTTAGGTGAGTTTTTCCGGGAATGTGCCTTTCTTTAAGGCAAGAAAGGTTAACCTATCTTTCTATTTCAGCTTTTTTTTGGTGCAATTCAAATTCATTCTTCATACTAACATTACCCTTAACGGAACCTTCAGATCCTCCATAGCGAGCCTCATTGCAATTCTGCAACTATTTCTAATGTTTTTCTCTCTAAAAGATTCTCCGTTTATCTGCAAGCACACTCCTCGCTTTGTCCTTATCTCCTAAGTTTTCTTCCTAGAACACCTTCTTATATATTCCCGCATGAAACCGGTACATATTTCTATCCATATTTCCGATGTGTTTCCTCCCCCCAAGGCCATTGATTCGTCACGCTGCTAACACATTATGATTAGATAAAAATAGGGCTATGTGAGTATTTTTGTAAGGATTGTCGCCAGGGTTTTCACACAAAGTGATGCTCATGTTGGGATAAGTTAGTGGCTCCGTTTGCCTTCCTTCAAAATGTGCTGATAATAATTGCTGCTATCAGTACACAGTCCACCCTTTCCTTTAAAGGCCAGGGTTGATAACAGAACCAAGTTTACACATATTATTCCAGGGTGCGACCGAGCTCTCTGAAGAAAATGTTGAGTCACTTGCACCACCACACTGCGCTCTTTAGCCGACTAGACCCTCCTGCACACAACCATCACCATTGCGACTCGGAGGACACTTCCGTAGACGATATTGATAATTCCTTCAGACAGCTGCTTCGCTAACTCATAGCTCATCAGTGAAGGTAGATGTTGAGTGATTAGAAATATTGATCAAACTGCTATTACATAGGGTTTTCCACATACAAAACTGGCATAGCTGATGTGATAACGCGGGAAAAGGAAAGTGTGAAGCACTGTTGACGAGTATGGACATACTTTCAGGGTCAGAAATTCGGCGCGGAGAATCAATCACTATGACTATCAATGCAGAAATACCGAGCCAGACACAGTGTACTGTATAGGTAGTGAGAGTTCGTGTATTTCACCTGACCGAGGGCCATGAAGGCCTGAAAACTCACCCCACCACCGGCCGACGTCGACAGCCGCAGCAGCCCCTGGGGCATAACACTGCACAGCTCACCCGTCGCGCCAAGACGCTTGGCAGCAACTAGGTTTCACGCCACAAGTATTGTCTGCAAGCTACTTTGTTCTCATGTGCCCAGCACCCACTGCCGTTGACGCGCTGGAAGGCCCTGTGGCATTAGCCCAGTATATCGTCGTTAGAGCTGTTTCGACGGTACGAAAGTGCTGGTAGAAGCAGTTGGTCGCATGGTATTGCGTCCTCCGGATTATCCCTTGACTGTCTTGTACCTCTTCTTGCTCTGACACTAACGGCGCACGCATCATATATTTTCCCGCGATATCAGCTATGCCAGTTTTGTATGTGGACACCCTATAATTATAATAGGAGTTTGGTCTATATTTCAACATCTACTTTCACTGATGAGCTATGGGTTAGCGAAACAGCCGTCTGAAGGAATTATCAATGTCGTCTACGGCAGTGTCCTTGCAGTGGTGATGGTTGTGGTTGTGTGCGGGAGGGCCTAGTCGGCTAAAAAAGCGCAGTGTGGTTGTGGAGGTGACTCAACACGTTTATACACACTTCATAAATGTTGCGACATCGGCGGTCATAGTCATGAAGTGTCGCCGAAACACTGTGTAATGAGCAGGGAGTGGTCTTTCTTGCACGTTTGCCTAGTGGAAGGTGCGACATGTACCTCGTGTGCTGCGGATGGCAGTCGTGCGTTTATCAAGTGTCAAGTTCGGCAAGAAGCGCGGGTTCCTCGTTGGAACAATCAACTTCATGACTATCACCGCCGAAGTCGCAACTTCGATGTTCGTATTGTTGTCCCTCACGCGGACGTACGACTAGTTGTTAAAGTTGACAGCGTTGTGAATAGCTAGTGGCTCTCAACGTCTGTTTAGCACAACTCCATAAGGGACTCTGACTCACGCTGCTAACTGGAGCTTAAGGACGTGTTTGTCGCGCTGGAAACAAAGCGTCTATGTAAGTTTGTATCTCTGGTTGTCTTTTTGCCTGTAGATCAGTATAATTATAAGTGGTGCTTTTCAGGCACAATCTTCCTCGGCCTACTCAAGCTCAACTGATGAGGGGTGAATTCCCCGAAACACTGAGAATTTAGCAGGGAGTGGTGCCTTCTTGGAGGTTTGCCGTGTGGAAAGCGTCTGCTCCCCGTGTTCTCTGGATGGCAGTCGTGAGTCAGTCAAGTGTAAAGTTCGGAACAAAGGGTGTGTTCCTCGTTGGAACAATCAACTTCATGAAGTTTATACATGTAAGACTAATGAGACAAGCTGCTGGAATAATATTATGATCAGGACAGATTCAATTTGCGTGCACAGGCAGCAGCGGAGGGTACACAGAAACGAAAGTATCTCTCCATTGTTGTTTGATGATGATGATTTTCGAGTGGGTGATGTGTCTGATTGAGTGGTTTATGTGAAAAACGGTATATAAAGAGCACAACCTACAACAAGGATGAACACTACCAGTCACCTGGCTGCACCACCGGGCGGTTTTAGCCTATTGCCAGACTTGAGTTCCTCATTAACATTTTTAACTACTTTAGGATACAAACCAAGCAAGCAAAAACAGACTGGAACCTTTACTGCGGTCTTACACTGTAAAACTGTAAAATGTTCTTGCCCAATATCCGGACAGCCAGCGCTTCCGAAAAAGGTGTGTAGAGTGGTTTGACCTACGAACCCGATCTAATCTGAGAATATCCAAGTATCTGTACAAGTTGATCTTTCTGATTTCCTCCAAAATTTGCAGGTACTTCGTAGTGGGTTACTTTTTGGAGTCTAGGTCGACTGTGCAAAGCCCGCGAGAAGGTTTCTGAAGGGAGACTTGCAACTTGCATACCCTCACAACTGGGCGAAAAACCACACTGTTTATGAGTCTATGAACGACTCACGCCACAGCGTGCACGAAAAAGTTACAAACAAAACTCCATCAAACCAAGAGTGGTTCACCTTGGAAGAGTTTCTCCAGCAGGGCCGCTTAGCCACGCCAGCGTCCCAGAAGGCGAAGGACTTCGCCCCTGACACCACACGTGATCGTCTTGAGAATAACCAAGTAACAAGCGCTGATAAAAACAGCCGATTACATCCCCAATTAGCAAACACTATACACCGACAGATAGTATAACACCTCATCTAGCACTGACGGCATGTCCCCCATTTTTCGTTTTTGGGTGTCTTTGGAATGAACCTTTCTGCATTTTTCCACTCCACCATGCTGAACCACGTCCAAACACATACCTCCGCATGTACACTGGCCCCTACGCGACGTCTCATCGGCAATCTCTGCTCCAGCACTACTCCTACTGGCGCAGAACTAAGTGTATTGTTGACTTTGACAAGAAAAGCAGCCATGATCACTTGTAACTCCAAATGATAAACCTTCTTCTTGCACCGTCAGAATTTTGGGCGAGTGTTGATGCAAAAGTGGCTTGAGTCCTGAGAGCAGATTCTCAATTTTACTGCAAGAGGCCCTGTGAAATCACGTGCCCGTGAAGTGGAGTGACGCGTCCGGGAACACGACATGAAACAATCGAGCAGGATCGCGCATGGCCTGCTTCTCGGAACTGGAATGTATATGAGGCAGTACCGGTATCTCATACAGAACAGTCCGAAAAGCTTTTAATTTATATCAGACCATGGGTGTCAGTTATAGATGGTAACTAGTTGTCCACGTACCAACCCTACGATATGAACACAATTAGCACTCAGCTAGACGTTGTCTTTCGTTAATGGGGTGCATCGCACGACTGATCCTGGACGCCTTGTAAGTATTATACAAAGTTGCTGCTTCAGAGGCAAATCCAAGATCAGCTTGGTGCGGGCTAGTGTGGACAAGATGGAGCAAACATATCGAAGTTGCTAGAAAAAGATATGTGAGCATGTGTTTACCGGTACTATGCACACAGATATAGGTAAATGCATGTATTTTGAACCATGCGCCGGAGATACGACATCACTGTCGTAAGGTCTCCTTAAATTTATTGCTTCCTAGACGCTGTGTTGCATAACTTGATTCACCTGTTCATACTGGAAATTTTAAGTACTGGCAAACACATTAGTTCGATACATGCATCTGATCCGGTGACCAGGGTAGATAATTATTTCAAGATTCGTGGTCTAGTGCTGTTCGTCTAACTCAGAATCGGGCTTAATTAAAATATGGGAGAAGAGGTATCCACTGGCCGCAAACCAGACATGCAAAATCTGTGCCCACACTCAAACTCGTCCCTTAATTCTCATCCTCCTCTGGTTACCGGTAGTTAGTTGTCACTTTTGCGCTTCCTGTGTGCAGGCCCACGATGAAGATGAAGAGCTGAATTGACATTCGTGACCTTATTCCGACATGACTATAATAACGATTGGAAATGATGTTCTCTTGTTTTTCTGCTAAGTATGATGTAGTTGTGTTACTATCATGTTCGCATGACAGATTCACACCTTGGCTGGTGTACCCTAACCCTTGTTTTTATACAACTAGCATCGTTAGTAGTAACCTTTTGAGATTTAGTACTAGATTTATTCCTAGAATTATTTGTTGCTTATCTAACTGGTTTCTTTGTTTTGCGCATAAATTATAATTTTGTTCTTCAGTATAACGATCATGGCAGGCATAGTGGAATGGTCTAAGACCATGATTGAGAAACCGTGGGTACTTAGAAGCGATGGGATGTTTGTTCTCCAGCCGTACTGCGACCCAAAGTAAATAGGGAAGTCGTGACCAGGCATTAACTCCTTCCCTAAGATGCTGGCCACTGTTTTCAAAACGTTTTTTAAAAAGAAATCTCAACTTTAGCAACTTTCTTGCACACTCCCTCATTTTTCGTGTGCCCTCACTTTCAGTTGACTCCTTTCCAGAGAAGCAATAGATCTACGGTACTTTCTCCGGAAACAAAAATTTCGTTACTTTTTCACTTATTTCTGCTGTTGGTCTGTCGCGACCTCTGTGTGGCTCTGTCGGCCTGAAACAGCAACAGATGACATATCGAAACTGTAGGAAGACATGATTCACATTCTGGTAAGCCAACAGTCATCGCAAGGCAAAGGTGTTGTGCCTTAAACCAAGGGAGGCGGCTATGTTTTGTCCTTTTGTCCACCAGTCACATTGCGCTCGCAGCTCGTCGTTGCTAGTTTATGGTTCAGAATGAGGAAAAGCAGGACAATAGAACTGAGGTGCAAGAAGAGTGTGAAAAGGATAGCAGCTAGCGTTTTGAAATCTGCGTCATCTCAAAGAACACCAGCCAAAGTGCTAACATGTCGCCAAGGTGTGAAACTCCGAACGCAAAGATGTGACACTAAGCAAAGCTAAAAAGTTCCAAATCGAAGTCGTCGTTCAGTG